TCCCATACAGAGCTGTCTAGTGGGATGAAGAAATTAGATGAGGAAACACATAGCTCATGCATAATAATATGGTGTAACAGGAGGCAGTGGAGGAGGAACATGATCATGACCTTGAGAATGTGGGAAGGTAGAGGCCTCATGAAGGAGAATGATCTTTTTGTCAAACAAGAGCCTTCAAGGGGATGGAGATGAAACTCAGTAGAATGCTTGTTTTGGTAGAATGCTTGCCTAGCATGCACGAAGCCCTGGGTTTGATCTCCAGCACTGGTGGCACAGATCTCTAATCCCAGCACTCAAGAGGTGGAAGCAGCAGGATCAGAACCTCAAGGCTATCCTTGGCTCACATGGGGAGTTTGAGGTCTAACCTGGGCTAGAGACCCTATCTCAGAAAGAAAAGAAACTTCAAAGAATTTTGAAGCATGACACTTGGGTCTGCCCTTCATACAGGGACCCTCCTTAAGTCCAGGCATGGCCTTGTATAGAAGATGTGTGAGGCTGAAACCCAGGGCCTGTTTCACCAGCCAAAGGTGTTAGTGCAGAAACACAGTTCTCACCTTCAAAGGGAAGAGCTTATTCTGGAGCCAAATATGAAAGGCTACTGTTGGGGAACCCTGCTGTTAGGGTTGTAGTCCTCCATGTCCGGATAGCTCTAAGGGGCTTGGGGCCCTATGGAAGGACTCCCCTTCTCAGCAGGGAGCCTCCTGCTCTCTTCCTGACTTACCTGGAAAGTGTGCCAAGCACAGATGCCTGACCTTATTTGGAACATGACCTTTGGCATAGTTACCTGGAGTAAAATTGCCCCCAGGTTTTTTCTGTATGATAATTAGGCATTGCCCTATAGCCAGATGATAGGATCCTGCTACCACATGTAAATAAAGCATACTATGAGCACCTATCAGCTGAAGCATTGGCTGCTGCCTCCACATTATATTTTCCCTAATCCCCACTGAATAAACGGAGCTGTTTCACTGAATCTGGAGCGTTTTCACTGAATCTGGAGCTGTTTGTATCATTGAACCTGCCTCCCCGGAAGGGCTATCTTCCGTCAGTGCTCACTGGCCGTCCTGACCCCGCTCGTTGCTTCTGCTCCCTTTGTCCTTGTGGAGCGGTGGCCAACAACCCACGAGGAGAGGGAGCAACCCCACAGACTACAGCATGGAAACATGGGTCTAGATTTCCTCAAATACCATGTTCCAACACAGTAACAATTTATGAAGTTTTTGTAGTACCAGAACAAAAGAAAGTTATGAATCAAGACACTTTTCAAATACATAGGTAGGGATACCAGTAGGCAGTTTTCAGCAAAAAGTTCTGCTATGAGCCTCAGATGATCACATTATTAACTTCTGAGCTGGTGGAAGCTAGAGATCAGTTTATATATGCCAAAGAGATTTTTACCTGCTTGTCACAAGGATGTTAGGTCAAACACAGAGGTGGCCGATGAATGGCCTTTAAAGGGGGGCAAAAGATAATTTGACGCTCCACAGTTACAGCTGTTCTAATCACTCAACCAACTGTGTAGACTCTCTAACACAGGTGTGGCTTTTTTCTGGGCACTTCAGTTAACACAGATAAGTTTTGTTACAATTACACAACCTCAAATGATGTGCTGTCCTCGCCCCGAGCCTGAAGCTGCTGGTGAAACGTGATGATGAAGCATGGCACACACATTAGAGAATTGCTGCTAGGGCTGCTCCCTCATTACTCCGCAAAGCCACATCAGTCACTGGAAACACCTGTGTGGGTCACCAGGCCCATCCCTGCCCATCCTGGGGACTTTCCTGCAGGCACCTTGCTTCTTTCTGCTGTTTTGGAGTGACTCAGCCTGTGACAGTTTTGCTCCTCCTGGTGTCTCAGTCTTGCCTTCCTCGGATTGCAGGTTATCCTTTGCCTCAATGTATCTGTCAGATTCCAAGGCATTCTGGCCCACCAGGGTCATTAAAGGGCCCTGACCATTATGATGTTTGGGCAACATGTCTGAAACTCTCAGTCTATGTTTCTGACCACCACTCAAATAACACGCATAGGACTCCAGCAGGAACTTACAAGGACAAGAGCTTGAGGCTTTGAGGCGATCTGGTTGTCCTTACTCCAACAAGGACATATTTCCCAAGGTGAGTGTTGCTCAGGATTGCCAAAGGAATCATGAGAAGAAAAGGATTGGCTTGAACGTAAACTTGGTACTCTGTATGAGGGCACACATACAAGCACGCACATGTGTGCATGTGTGCCATGGTGTACATGTAGGGGTCAGAGGATAACCTAAAGGAGTCATCTCTTTCTTTCCATAATGTGGGTCCCAGAGATTGAACTCAGGTTATGTGGAGTTGGCAGCAAGCTCCTTTACCCACCAAGCCATTCCACCAGTCCCAAAATTACAGCACTTTTGAGAACATTTAACAGACTAATGTGCATTATAAACCTTCAAGGAATGATTTGTAGTTATTCTTTCTCCCAGGAACTTCTTGTGGGCTCATTTTTGGAAGGGGACATCATCCGCAATCACCAAATGACAGGGAAGGATGCTTCAGTGTGTCTCTGCCTTTCCTGTCAGGTGCTAGGCTCCAGGAAGGACTGCCTCCCAAATTCCCACCTCCCACAATAGGACCTGACTGAAGGATGGGAAGAAAGGCTACTGCCCCGCCCCTTGGTTCTCCCCTTCTCTGTGACTTCTGGGGGTATGGGAAGGTGCTCTTGACTCAGTAGCACACACAGAGAGAAAATGTTTACATGGACAGTGGTCAGCCTGCTTAAAAGAATGAAAGGGGGCAGGCAAGAGGGCTCAGAGGGCAAAGGAACTTTCTGCCAAACCTGACGACCTGAGTTTGAACCCTGAACCCATATGGTAGAAGGAGAGAATTGACTCTCACAAGTTGTCCTCTGGCTTCAGTATACATGCTATGGCACGTGAATGCCCCCAATAAATAAATACATGTAAATAATGACTTTTAAGAGGGGTCTGAATTAATATTCAGTCGTTCTAAACTTCTTTTTACTAATTGAATATGCCCTATTTCCTTTTAAAATTTCAGTTGTCTAACAAAAGTTAACTTTTTACTTTCTAAGTACATCTTTGTCTAATAAATTAATCTTATAAAATATGGCTAACACAAAGACCTCTAAAATGCTCTAAAACTAAAAGCTAAGCATGGTGGCACATGCCTGTACTCCCAACACTGAGGCGGCTGAGGCAGGAAGATCACAAGTTAGAAAAAAGAATGATAAAAGAAAAACTTCCACAATAATATGTAAGCTTTGTAAAGTTTCAGCTTAAAGCCATGAGTCTAAATTGATTGCCCCACCTATTGCAACCCCCTTCCCCTTTTGAAACAGGGTCTCATGTAGCTCAGTCTGGCCTTAAACTTAACTACATAATCAAGGATGATTTTGACCTTCTGGTCCTCCTGCCTCTGCCTCACAAGTGCTGGAATTACAGGCATGTACCGCACCACCATGCCTGGCTCAGGCAGTGTTAGGGATAAAACCCAGTGCTTCATGCATGCTAGGCAAGCACTTTACCAACTGATCCACATCCCTAGCCCCTAACTGTGCATTTTATATTTACATTTTATAAGACTATCAGTTTGATAGGCCAAAAAGCTCTCAGGTGTTACAAGTTCATAAAGCACCATTCATGTACAGACTCCCCCAACCTTACCACGATCGAGTAAGCATCTCTATGTAAGCATTTCTACTCTTAACTCTAAATCTTCCTCAGGTTTGAAGATCTGATTCACTGAAGAAATCTCTTAACTCCCCTGCTAACCAGAACTGCTTTTTATTAAGAGGCACAGCCAGGCCTGAGTCTGAGGCTGCAGATATTGTGGAGAGTCGTGTTACTGTGATCTCAGGAAGCTGTGATTTCTTTCCCTGTGCTGTGTGGCATTATCTCTCAGAAGTGCTGGGTGTGTGTATAGGCAGATGTTGCCTGACACACATCAGTGACTTGTGCATGCTTCCATGTGCATATGGCCACAGCCCCATCATTGTAGAGGAGGTGGTCGGGGCAGCCCAAGGCTGACTTGGATTTATGCTCATTCCCAACCCTTTTCTCACAGAATAATCATCCTTTCCAAAGTCTACACATAAACCCTGAATAAAGTTAGCATTTTCTTTCCTTTTCATCTATGCATATCTTCCTAAACAACTCTCTAGAAATCACTTTACTTTGCCTGAAACTTTATATTTCTTTCAATTTGTCCCTCTTAAGGGCCATACACCTCTGACAAATATTAAGAGAATTCAGGTAGAGTCATGGATTTCTATGGGGGATGACACTGGTTATTTATCCTTAAAGACCAAGGACATTTTACTGGCCCATTCTAGCAGGGCGGCATTCAACACCGCCAACCCCACCCCCTGCAGCATAAAGCTGCTGGTACTTGGTGTGTTACGTATTGTACCAAAAAACTACCTAAAATTATGCAATTCAAACTAAAACTGACTTTGACTTACACCATCATAGTGAATTTCAAACAAGTGAGACATAGTGAGACCCCGTTTAAAAAAAAAATAGGCATGGTGGCACATACTTTTAATTCCAGCACTCAGGAAGCAGAGGCAGGTGGACCTCTGTGAGACTGAGGCCAGCCTGGTCTACATAGCCAGTTCCAGGCCAGCTGGGGCTACATAGTAAGAACCTGTCTCAAGAAGAAGAAGAAGAAGAAAAAAAAAACCCCAAAAACAAAAAACAAAACAACAACAACAAAAAACCCAATGCAAAACAGAAAGATCATTAGAGAAACACTTCATGGATGTGTCTAGGGACAGCTGATCAAATTCTAGATTTCTCCCTGGCTGTTGCCACTGTCCCCCAGCAGATGGCTCCAGAGCCCCAGGAGCCCTCTGGATGGGCCACTTCCAAGTTCAACTATCAGAAAAAGGCAAGCTACCACAGGAGACACCAGAGATGGCTCCCTGCCAAGATTATAAGTGAATTTAAGGAGGCTGGTTCCTAAATGAAGCATGCCACTTTCCTCACAAGGGCAATGACAACTGGGCTCCCTAAAGGCTAGCCCATTTCCTTCACTTCCTTGGGGACTGAAACCCATGATCTTGAGTTCCTCAGGGAAGTGAAAGTAGCCTAGAGGAATCCAGTAATTCCTGTTATCAGCTGGCTTTATAAGTCATTGAGCCATGATCTGTCTCTTCATACAATCTGAGGTCCCAGGAGCGCCAGGATGTCTGTGCAGTTGGCTTTGCTGCTACTCTTCCTCCTTGGTCTCCATGGTGCCCTGGCCCTGAGGCTCTGCTCCTTTAATGTGAGGTCCTTCGGAGAAAGCAAGAAAGAAAATTGCAATGCTATGGATGTCATTGTGAAGGTGAGCCCCATTCTTGTCCCGGACACCCTTCTATTCTCTTGTCTGCTTTAGATTTGATAGACCTGGGAAGAATTTGAAGGTTCTCTCAGGGTGAGGTAAAGATACGAACAACAACCACTTCAGCTCTGGGTGCTTTCTGTCGGTCTCCAGACTGGGATGGGCACTGTCAGTTCCACACCCGTGCTGTGAGGCTATATGAACAGGTAAATGTGAAGCTCTTGCCAGAGTCTGGCTCAAAGTATGGGCTACTGAATGCCTATGTCAGGCACAACAAACACATGATCTCATTCATCATCCTTATGAGCAAGGACTATTGTTTCCCATGCAGAGATGAACTCAGAAGGGCATTGGGGAGCTCCAGGGAAGGGCAGCGAGGGAGCTGGTACAGCCTTGCCTGCTTAGTTTTCATAACCATCGGTGAAGTGTGCTTTCTCTCTCCCCCTTTCTCCTTCTCGCCATCCATCTCTTTCCCCCACTAATATCTCAACTCTCAATTCCTCTCTTTCTCTGCTTGTGGGTAGTATTGTCCTTATGTAATATGATCAATGTCTGGGGATGCAGTCATATTCCTCTGACTGTCTTACAGGTGATTTATTTTTGATGCTTTCAGCTAAAAATGTTTCCAGGGACTCTGATGTGGTGGTTATTACTTAAAAAAAAAAAAGTGGGGCTGAGGATGTAGATCAGTTGGTAGAGTGCTTGCCTAGGAGTCTAGAGTTCTGTGATGGGATTCACAAGTTAGGAGAGATGCTGTATGGAGGAGTGGAATTACCAGAGGACAAAAATACAGCCCTGTGAGTGTGGTGATGTTTCTAGGACTGAGTAAGATGGGAAAGAAGATAGGTGTTTAGGTTCCCAGGCTCTAGGGGGCCATGCATGCAGACGTGGGGAAATAGTCTCCTTGCATGTCAGATATCTCCATTGAGCCATGGCATCAGGGCCCCCACGGGCTTGGCACAGTTGTTCTCATCCCCAGTGCCTCATGAACCAGGCATGATGGTATAGCACATGTACTCAAGAGGTAGAGGCAAGAGGATTGGAAGTTCAAGGCCATCCTTGGCTACATAGCAAATTAAAGGCCATTCTGGGCTACATGAAACCCTATCTTAACACACGCACGCGCACACACACACACACACACACACACACACACACACACCCCAACTAAGGGGAAGAGGCCTCTGTGTGGGGGGAGAATGCCAGAAGCTCTGGGTTCAGGTCTTACCTGTCAGCTGGGAAGAATACAGGATCCCTTCCTGGTACTAAGCATAATGTACCACCTAAGCGTGAGTGGGCTGAGAATTCTGGTGGGAGAGGCCCAACAGAGCTGGAGATGAGGCAGGCAGGCACGTGCTACTGTTTGGGCAGAGAGGATGCAGATGGAAGACCAGCTTGTTGCACTCTTCCTGAGATGGACCTGAGCCTGGGCAGCCCTGCCCTTTAGAGGTTACCCAAGCATCTCCAGACACGGTTTTACCAGAACAACTGTGCCAAGCCCGTGGGAGCCCTGATGCCATGGCTCAATGGAGATATCTGACATGCAGGGAAACTTTCCCCACATCTGCATGCATGGCCCCCTAGAGCCTGGGAACCTAAACACCTATCTTCTTTCCTAACTTACTCAGTCCTAGAAACATCACCACCCTTTCAGGGGCTGTATTTTTGTTTTCTGGTAATTCCACTCCTCCATACAGCATCTCTCCTAACCTGTGAATCCCATCGAGTGTGTCTAAAGTCTTTGTCAAGACTTTGTCTCCATTCTCACAATGCCCTAAACAGAGGCCATCTCCCCCCACAAAAAATATCAGAGCTAGGGGATGGAGAGATGGCTCAGCAGTTAAAAGCGCTGACTGCTCTTGCAGAGGATCTGGGTTCAATTCCTGGCACCCAGATGGCAGCTACGAGCCATCCTTAACTCCAGTTCCAGGGGAATCCAAAGCCCTCTTCTGACCTCTGTGGCATTGCATGACACAGGCGCACTCACATACATGCAGGCGATACACTCATACACATAAAATAATAAAATAAAATGTAAAAAAAATCAGAGCCACCTAACAGAACAGTGACAATTTGCCTCAAATACTAGGTGCTTGCTCAAAATAGTATTCTAAGGCTCACTGGCTGAGGGTCTACTACAAGCCAGGACTCTATTCTTATTCAATATTGTCACATAAGTAGCATTCCTCCCACTGTGTGTGTGTGGGGGGGCACCTGGGTGTGCATCTACGTGTGTGCATGCATGTGGAGGCCAGTGGTCAACCTTACGTACCATTCCTCAGGAGCTACCCACCTGTTTTTTGAGACAGGGTCTCTCATTAGGACCTGGAGATCATCAATTAGGCTGACAGTAAACACCAGGGATCCTCCTGTCCTGAGATTACAAGCATGCACCACCATGCCTGTTTGTTGCTGTTTATTTTTTACATGGGTTCTGGGGATCAAACTCAGCTCTTCATGCTTATATAGCAAGCATTTAACCAAGCCACCTCCCCAGCCTTCTTTCACTTTATAACTGAGGAATCCAGTGCTCTGAAGGGTAGATTTACTCCCCCAGGCTTCCATAGTTAGGAAGGGCCAGGATCAAGCCTCGCTACACATGCTGAGATGCCTCTCCAATTCTTGCGCACTGAACTTAACCACCTTGGGGATAAACTCACATTATTCTGTCATTGCTCTGTCCTTTATTCATGTGGTTATAACGCGAGGCAAGCTGCCTTCCTCAATTTGGGTTTGCTTTTCCTACTGTGAGTAGCTGTCTGGACACTAAACCCAGTCTAGGTGAGTCCCAGATCTGTGTTCTTCAGTTGATGTCCTCCTGATCAGAGCTCGTTCATCCAGAAAATTGTTACTGAAGGGAGGGTATGTGCCAGACACTCTGAGGAATTGGAGAAGGGATGAGGGATAGGGGTTGGCATCATCTCCTTTCCCAGACCTTAGAGTACATGATAATTATTGGTTTTATGCAGTGCTATGTGCTGGGTACCTAATAAGTGGCATCCATGCTCAACTTCAAAATCGTCCTTATTATTATAAGCCCACTCTACAGATGGGGCTACTGGAGCTGGGAGAGTATGCTGTGTAGTGTCGGGAAGCACACAAGTGGTAGGGGAGGGTTTACACCCCAGGTCTTCATGCGAGGCTGCTCCCTGGCTAGGGGCAAGAAGCAGGGCTTCATGAGCTATCCTCCACCTAAGATCTTTCTAGACCTCTCCACACTGTCCCTTCCTTCTCCTTTTGAGCACTCATGATACCCCATGACCAGGATTCCATCAGTATCAGCCATGTATAACCCTTCAAGCGCCTGTTCCCAGAGTGTTGGCAGCATAGTGGTTAGTGCAGCCACCCCCTCCAGACCCTTGCTCCCTCCTGTGAATAGTCAGGAATTTGGCATTAGTGAGATCTCACAGCTTCAAGACTTGTTCTGAAAGGGCCTTCCAGGGGGCCTCTTCCTGAGGAGGAACCAGAAGAGAGATATTTTTTCCTGCTCCTCTGCCCTTTTGAGAATTCTACAGTGGGATTTTGAGTTACTGATCACTGTGGTGCAGATTCTTGCCTGAGGAAGTATTCCCAGAGATAGCAAGGAGACTGGAAACCAGTATCAGCTGGAGATGTGAGGCTCAGAAGTGCTTGTTAAGCAAAGAACAGGGATGTCAACAGGAAGTCTGGCTGTGCTGTCCCTCAGGAAAGGAGGTCTGAGACCATGGTCTACATTTGCTTGTATTAATGAGTCATACAAGAGAGGGACTTTGGCCTTTGACATGCTGATCTCCTTGGCTGCTGAGGTCATGGTCAGGAAAGGGGCTCTGTAGTGTGGAAGACTTGTTGCCCATATTCCCTTGGTCTTCAGTCACACAAAGCTCACTGAGCCTTACAGTAACCAGTTATACAGAGGGCTGTGAAGAGGACCACATCAACACCTGAAGATGTGACTGAGTTGATAGGCTATTTGCCTAGCATGCGCAAAGCCCTGTGTTCGACTCCTAGCACTTTATAACTCCCAGCACATGCCTGTGATCCCAGCACTCAGGAGGTGGAGGCAGGAGGATGAGAAGTTCAAGATCATCCTTGGCTACATACAGATTGTGGCCAGCCTAGGCTAGGTAAGACCTTTTCTCAAAAGATGTTTTTCCCATGATGGTAATATTCTCTCAAAACATGAGTTCTAATGCTACATAATGCCCTTCTCATATTACATTTGCATCACTAACTTAAATGTTTTCCTGATTGACTTGTGCCCACTGTTTTGTGGGCAAATGTCTTTTCTTCTTTGAGCTACACAAGTAATATTAATATACTATGGGGCCTCCTGCAGGGCTAGCACTGTTTTACACTCTCACTCCCTCTCTAGTACAATTGTGAAGGATGGACTATGACCATCCCAACAGATAGATGAGGGAAACTGAGGCCCAGACTAGCAGTGTGTGTCCTCATTGGAAGACATTCTTCAAAATGGGAAAAATGGAATCAAAGAAATGTGTACATTTTAAAGTCCCTTCCAGAAAGGTCTGGAGGCCCCAAGTGACTGACCAGCAGGCTGGCCTGAGGAGCAGTACAAAGCTCCTGGTGGGTCCCTTTGGGCCTATCTGTGGGTTTTAAGCCAAGGTTTCCTCTTCAGTCAGTCCTCAGTTCTCTTCTAGCCCAAGGTTGCTTCCTAAAGACTGAGTCACTGGTCAGAGGCGAACCTGGACTCCACCCTGATGGAGATGTAACTAGAAATGCTCCAGAGATAGAGGCCTGTGGCACAACCGTCCACTCTACAACTCTGATGCCATGTGAAAGGACAAAATTAACCTTGGGGATGCTTCATCCTTGACCGACAAATCTCGTGGCACTGAGTCACTTAGAAACCCATGTGGTCATCAAGAGGAGTGAGAAGGGCTGTACCCTACTCATAGCTGCTGTTCACCCTGACAGATGCTCTCCTGTATTCTTTCTCTCACTGAATTCCTTCTAGCCTTTCAGGGACCAAATGTCACCTCTTTGTGAAATCTTTCTGATTTTCTGGGAAGAATAAGTCACATGTCCAGGCATGTGACTCCTATTTAGCACACATTCCCTCCTTTATACCTAGTTGCTTCCATATGAGTCTTTGAGAACAGGGACTGTATTTTAACAGTTGAGCATAAAGGGTTTTAAACTGAGTTCAAATTCTGGGTCTCCCACCAGTACTGACTGTGTGACTTTAACTACTCTGAGTTTAGTTACCATCTACAATTAACGGGCTAATAATCATAGTCTTTTAGTATTGCTATGAGGCTCATAATAGGTTCAGAATAAATGCTAGCTATTATAACTATCATCATTGTAATGATGACTCCTTATTTCTACAATATCCAGCCTGGTACCTTTACTTACTAAAGTATTTATTACTATCACTACCACTTAAATCATTTAAGCAAAATCAGGATGTAGGATTAGGATATTTGGGAGGGCCACTGTTATGGGTACTGGACTTGGATTGCTTAGATTCAGTTGCCACTGTAGCTACTTTCTCTTTTTTTTTTTTCTTTCATTTATTTATTTTTATGGGGCTTTTGGCTACTCTAACTTTCCCCCTTCTGAAGAGGTAACCCTAAAATCTTTTAAGGATTAGATACAAGCTCCCAAATATTTTTGAC